AATTAATTCGGGAAAAGTTGTCGTTCTACTCATGCTGCAGTCACCAGCTTTATCTTTTCCCACTCTTCCAATGTAAGTCGAGGTTTAATTTTCATTTATTCGAACTGAACATACAAAAACCGTAAAATGCCATCAGGATCCCGATTTTTCGAGCCATTTCTCTTGAATGAGCGTCTTGAATTCGATTCAGAACTGGTATTCCTTTTTTGCTGCGTTGTCTATGTTCTCAAAAAAATTATCTTTGAATTGGAAGGAAATATCGACGTTGGTTAGAGTGTCATAAGGCCTCCTCAGTGAACATCCGAAAATGCCAGATATTGTGGAGGAGGTCGCGGAATCCGTGAAGGAAGTGATCGAGCAGATGACCGATGCCAGCACCAACACCACGGGGAAGCCTCAAGCAACAGCTGAAGGCATGGCTTTAGCTTATGGAAGCCTCGTGTTGATGGCGCTCATTCCGATTTATTTTGGATCGTTCAGGTCTGTTACCCGACATGCTGAACAAAAGGTGAGTTCAGTCATCTTCGCAAATTTTTCTCTCTGTAAACGTTGCTAATCGTCTTCTTCTTGTTGAAGGAATCTGGAGAGAAAACGGAAAAAATCATGACCAAGGATGCTGCAATGTTCCCAATTTTCGCCAGTTGTGCGCTGTTCATCCTTTATCTAGTTTTCAGGGTGAGTGAGGTTTTCTTATCTCATTATGAGACGCTATCGTTAATTCGCTTGTTTCGCCTTTCAGATATTTTCCAAGGAATACATCAACATTCTCTTATCGGTGTATTTCTTCGGCATCGGAGTTGCCGCGTTTGTTCGGATGATGCGGTAATTTTCTGATCTGTAAAAGGTGTTGATATTCGTCTACAGTTCTTGTTTTTGTTTTTTTCTCCTAGCCCAATTATGATTGATCGACTGCCTCCATGGATACCAGTGTACTTCTACGATGCCAAAGTTACGCAAGTCGCAAAGGGAACCACTATTAGGGAAACGGTGCTCGATTGTACTTTCAGTACGGCAGATTTCGTCTCTCTCGTCCTATCGACAATATTCGGCGTGTGGTACCTGTGGCAGAAGGTATTTATGCTTTGGACTTCGATGAGAAAAAGTTTGGATTCTTATCGTTTTTCTCCTAAAATGTGATCTATTCTTTAAATAAAACCTGGCACAATTTCCATCATCTTTCTTTGACGAAAAACCTACAAGTAAAATAATTTTTCCTTGGATAGCCATGGCATTTTATTTAGAAATTTCAAAGCAAGTTTTTTCGGGATTTTCCAGTCCTTGAAGACTAAAACGCAATTGATGGATCTTTAGATATTCGAGGTTTCACTGAAGGTCATCACGTAACTCAATTTAAAATACTGCAGAACAGTCATCGAGAAATGTTCTTGATTTTTGCGAAATTAATGAAATCAGATCAGGGTTACTTGTGGGAAAGCCGCGTTTTACATAAATTATTCTCAAGAGTTGCAATTTTCGCTTATATTGGTGGCGATTGAATGGATCATCCAGTCGATTAATTTTACTGTTTAATTTCTTTCCATATTTAGCATTGGGTTGCCAACAACATATTCGGTCTTGCATTTGCTTTAACCGGAGTTGAAATACTTCACCTCAACAAAGTGAAAACCGGCGTTATTTTGCTTGGTGGGCTGTTCGTCTATGACATTTTTTGGGTGTTCGGCACGAACGTCATGGTGACAGTAGCGAAGTCCTTCGAAGCCCCGATCAAGGGTGAGTTGAAATTTGATTCATTTATCATCCCATCAGACGCAAACGTTTTTTTGCTTCTGATCCTGTCCGAATTGGCGACCTCCAATTCAAAAGTTCCATTCGCTTTGTTCGTATTTCCAAAAAAGTATTGATGGGGTTAGTGTCGTGTTTAACCGTAGTGTTTGATCCATGCCACTGCCAATTCCTGCTCTTGATATGAAGTGATTTCTTTTGTTTTTTCTAGTTGTGTTCCCGCAAGATCTCCTGGAGCATGGAATGGGAGCAAATAATTTTGCTATGCTCGGTTTGGGAGACATCGTGATTCCTGGAATATTCATATCTTTGCTTCTGCGGTTCGACGTGAGCCTGAACCGGGGTAGCAACACCTACTTCAACGTTACGTTTTTCGCGTACCTCGTCGGACTTCTGATGACAATCGGCGTCATGCATGTGTTCAAGCACGCCCAACCAGCTTTGCTGTACTTGGTTCCAATGTGTCTTGGAACACCGCTCTTCGTTGCTTTGATCAAAGGCGATTTAAATATACTTTTCCAGTGAGTTCAAATGAATGATTGGCAGTCCCATGAAATCATCCATTTTCAACATGAATTATCAGAAAATAAACGTAAATTTGGATTGAACTGCAACGTTTTTGTGCTCCCGATAATGATCGTGTCATGCATCCATTGAAACAGTTTTTGTTAGTCAGTCAGTTATTGACTAATCGGATTTTATTTTTTCATATTCATTTTGTAAGTGAATTTTGAATTTTTTTTCTCACCCGAGGAGTTTTTATGGAAAGACAAGTGTTGCAAAATTTCCAATTGTCTTAATGTGAAAAATCAGTTGGCAACCGTTTTCAATTTACATTGAACTTTTAACGTTGTTTTCATAATCATCCAAGTGCAGCGAAAGCCACAAAATAGAAGCTAACATGCCAGAATATTGCTCGTCAAATTCAATTCGTAATCGTTTAAGTTTATTCCGAGAAATCGTCGTTTGAAAATGTACATGCTTTTATAATCCTGCATGCGTGTTAGTGTTCACTAAATTTTATTCAACATCCCAGTTATAATCGAAATCAAACCGGCGACTGTGAATCGGGCAAAAAAATTCATTCATATTTGAACTTGATTCGTTTATTGTAGGTATGAAGATGAGCCTGAAGAAGATGAAGCAGGCGAAGTTTCGCAGAAAGCTGAGAAAACGGATTGAAGGCACAGAGTCTCTATGAAAAGAAAACGAGGAAATTTTGATGTTCAAAAATGAAAATGAATATCTTGTTAAGTTCGGATTGCACGTTTTTGGAGTTTTTTTTTCTAATTTCCAACGTCTCAGTTGTAATTGTTCCCTTGGCGTTGCGTTTGTGAGAAGCTTTTTCTTGGTGATGGCGACGTGGGGAATTCGTCGACTTCCAGAAAGTGTTATTTTTAGTTTAAAAATTTATGTTGGAATGGCGAACTCGTTTTTGAAATTTTTTTTTTCCTTGCAACTTACTTGATCATTGATTTATTCTGATTTTTCTTTTATGCACTTGCTTTTCATGGCTGCATTCCCTCTCGACAGATTTGCAGAAGTGTTTAAAATTGAGCCTTTCTCTGTCGAAAGAACACGCCGTGTTTCAAGAGGAAACTCTGTGATCATACTTAAGACGTTTCCCGCGGATTCAGACGTCTTTGGATTAAGATAACATCTGCCAACCTTGCACAACTGAAAGGAAGGAATAAGATTTGATTTTCTGTAAAACCCGTTAAGTTCTGAGGCTTCTCTGACGTTACCGCCGAATGACGCGGAAGATTCTTCCGCCGGAAAGCGCTCATGGGTGCATTTGAATTTGTGAAGATCGTGACAAGTTCTTCCGGACGAATGTTTTGAAGGATTAAGAATCGGACTGCTATGGAAATTGTGTCTCCGGTACTTATTTCTTTTTGATTTTTCTTTGTGTGATTTTCCGGAGGTACATTCAATTTAAAAATTGAACTCTCTGAATTTCTGGATACTGCTTCCAATGAAGTAATTTTTCTAAAGGTTTCTTCGAATGATGATTACATTTTTTATTCTGGGCTGTTGTGGTAAGATTATGAATTAAATGGAAGCTATTTTTTCCGCAGGAATGGAAAGCCTGAATCTTTCTGGTCATGGGATAAAGTACTATATTCACCTTCAGGGTTTCATTTTCTGCTGGATTTGACGAAATTCGAATGATAGTACTCCCTGATAAATTGCAGTACAGTACATTGGGGTGCTACATTACCCTGTAAGGTTCAGAATAGCTGAGTGTGGCATTGTAACAAGGTTTTCCATTATGATTTTAAGGGACTATCTGACATAATATACAACTTAGCCAATAAGTAGAGATACACTACTGCCTATACTGTAATGAATGTCATCTCCTGTCTTCAGACCTTCATAATTTTGACTGCATCACACCTGACTTGAATCAATTATTTTAATTTGATGTTGATGCCTTTTTGGAGCCTCAATGCATTATTTATTGTTGAATTAAAACATGCATTAAATCCTTCAATTTTGAGATTCTTGCAAAAGACCCAATAAAAAAGTTATGTGAGCATTCATGAAATACTGTACTGTGATTATGATGATAGGTAGTACCTGTGGTACACTATGTGCAGTTTAGAAGGACCTGACCTGAACTTATTGTCATGATTCATTGACCTGATGCTTTCCAATTGTAACATTTTAGACAACCGTTGTAAGAATCAATGATCTCAGAAAAGTATTCCTTCTGTACCCTGGTAAGCATCAGAGACGCCTGAAGTTGAAATATTAATGGCTGGGTTATTTTCTCTTTGCAAGTTCCGAAAGCCAATCAACTGTCGCTTAAAGTCGTGGTAAATTCGAGTTGTATGCTTGAAGCAATCTTGACAATGGTATAGGTTGTAATCCTATGGAATGCGATTTTGAAGGAAAGGTACTTCATGTCTCTTTAAGATGTCGCTCCCGTCACAATCATTATTGCCTGCGCCGCCGGTGTACTCCCTCCTATTAGTTCAGAAACATATGTTAGGGCGGGCAATTTCAAGGGAATCCTGGAAGGTCCAGTGTCACGGATCAATTCGCCGATGGAAGTTGGATGTGGAAAACCCTGTTCTTGAATTTGTGTTGTCGGCCAATTAGCTGCTGAGTTGGTATGACTGGTGATGGAAGAATCCAGTGTGCTGTGGAGTGACGAAGAAAGCGCGCTTTTCAACGAATCCACTGGACTTAACTCCAGTTCGGAAGGTAATCGTTGATGTGTGAATCTCACCAATGTTTTAATGACGTTATGAATCTCAAATCCGAGTAGTCATCGAATCCACGCCAATCACCAATCGGGCTCGTGCGCCGTTAGGAGGAAGAACACGAGAAGAAACTCCGGATTCTCTAAACTTCTATACGCTTCCCTATCGGATTGCTACGGAGAGAAATCTGTCAGTTGCTGATTTTTGTTGTCGCCAAAGATGTGGTCTCAAGCTGATTTCTTACAGAGATTTGTTTCCATCACTCGGGACATCCCCGAACATTTTGTGGACAAGCGCTTTCGCCACACCTGCGAGGTCCGATTCGAGTGCGAAAAGGTTTCCTGGACTGCGTTCCAATTTTTTCAAAAATACGACTCCAGTTACGCCGATCACGGCACCGGTGAGAAACTTCATCTTATATCCTCATCTGTCGTGTTTCTGGCGTTGTGATTCAATTTTAACTTTGATCTTATTTTGTACAGTTGAAAGAACGTTTTGTCCGTCAGCGATCGTCTCTACGACGCGTCGAAGTTTGTCAAAATCTCTCCCCTTTGAAACTTGGGGAAACCATGGAGAACTGTACCTCTACAAAGAATGATCTCAGTCCCGGGTAAGTTTATTATTGATATTGTAAGTGTAACGACATTTCAAGTGTCACGTTGTGTTTGATTTTTGTTGGAAGAGATGAACCTACACTCAAAGGCAAAGAGAATATGAATCCTTCCGTAGCTGTAAAAGAGTGGGATGATTTCGAGGTGGGAGCCAGTCAAGAAGCTGAACTGGCCGAACAACTCGATCTTCTAGAAAGTGCCTTTGATGAGTCGTCTGCTCGCGTCGAATGCACGATTACCAAAGAACGTAGTAATCTAGATGGACCGTCTCCCGTGATCGAACGAACTTTTTCCACTCAAATAAAGGTAGGCCATTTATTTGTCAATTCCTCATGAAAGTTGTTACAGAATTGATTTTGTGGCAGGACTTCTTCGATTGCACCGATTCGGAGCTCGAAAAAGGGTTGCTCTCTGTGGCTGAAAAAGCGGAAGAGGAAATTAAATCCAGTGCCAGCTTCGGTTTTAAAACCTTGGCCGGGAAAAGTTTAGGACCACTTTCTCAGGCTGCTGTCGAACAAGCTCAGAAGCTTTGGAACACTTGTAAGGAAGATGTCGTTACAGCTCCATCAGAGGAACCGGAATTGAAAACTGTTGGTTTTAAAACGGCGGCCGGAGAACCATTACCTTTTTCGCAAGCTGTCTTTGAAAAGTATGCGTCTGAGTTCGAATGCGACGAAGTCGGGGAAAATCTTCCCGTGGAAGTAAAAGCGTCCGTTCTTCCTTCATTGCCCGTGCCTTCACCGTCTTTCAATCTTAGGTGAGATTAAATAAGTGCCACCCGCGTTTACGCGAATTAAAGATGCCATCGATTTTGAGACTCTGTGATGTTAAGCTTATCTGAGGCACAACACAAAAGAATGCACTTGAAAAAATGTTCGTGAAATGAAGACGCGACGTCGCACGTTTCGTAATATTCCAAAAGTTGGGTCTTGTACTGTCAACATTTTCGAATTACATTAACTACTGTATCATGAATTCGTTCAGCATTGTGCCTGAAAATGTAAGACGCACTACGATTTTTAGACTTTTTTTTCTGGATTCTGTGTAGACTGGAGTACTTCGAGCGTATTTTTGAAACAACAAAAGTTTACGTGATTGCAATTTTTTGAATTCGTGTACATTTTTGGCCACCCTCAAAATAATTACTGTGGCAAATCTGAAACACTTTCAATCGTAAAATGCTGTTTTTTGTTAATCGGAATCGAGAAAATCGTCTCAGTTTCGTATATACGGTACTGTTTTAACTAAATTATTCTCAGTTTGATTCTGTACATTTAACTTTTCTATGTATGTCTTTTTAGGACGAATATTTCGCTAGTGCCGAAAGACCCTAAATTGGCACTAGCAGCCAAATTGTTCGGTGACATCGAAGGCATTGATGAACTGATGTCCGGAGATTTCGAAAGTACTACCTCGGATAGCTCCAAAATCAAGAGAGCTGGTGCAAGTTTATCCGACCCGTTTCCGAAAGATTTCACTCCGAAGCAAAACGCAAAGAAGGATTCTTCGAGGCAATCCTTATTTGAATCGTTTGCATCAGAATGCAAAGATTTAAATTTTGGCTTTCTCAAGACATTGTCGACCAGTTCAACCTCAGCTGTGTAAGTATGCTAAGAATTCGAAATGTTTTGTATAACAAATTAAACTGCGAAATTTTAATTCAAGTCAAAGAATGCCATCTGGAGGAATGTCACGAAGCAGTTGCACGCCCAGTGCTGAGTGTTCTAGTACCCCCAGAGGTTTATTCCGCACCACGTGTCAAATTCGGCGAGCAGATTCAAAAATTTCTGAGATCGTGAGCAATGTTATTTGCGAAAATGTTGCTTCAAATTCTGGAGAAACCACGTTTTCTGAACCGGTGAAGAATGGTACAAGCAAAGCAGGTGTTCCGAGTCCCGAGGAAACCATGTCGAAGGAACTCGATGACGACTTTGAGAACTCCATGGAATTTTTGCAGAAGTTGAAAGAACTTGAAGAGACTGTTGTTTCTGATTCCGCGGGTGCATCGAAAATGTATCATACGAAAACTCAAACGGAGCCTGTGTTTGAACCTCAGGGTTCGCCAAGTGAGTTAACGGCTTTCTTGCAGCTATTGAACCATTCCGAATGTTAAGCATTACAATTTTGTGTGCACCTTTCCCGGAAAAATTGGATTTTCCGTATGTACGAATATTTTTTCCGAAAGAGGCTCGGAATGATCGTATAATAAGGCTGTTTTCTTCTATTTGATCATTTAAATACGAAAAGCAAACGAATTTTTTGATTTTACAATCGCAAAATTGTGACTTTTGTGAGAACTATGATTTATAAGTTCAACTTCATCTCTCAGCATTATAATTCTTTTTCAACACATGAAGGAATATCCCAACAAATTAATGGTTTTGAAGTATAAGATCGAATGAAGAAGCGTAGTTCATGAAATTTTTAAAACAAATTAAGATGAAATTCCATGATCTTTACCGCTCTTACTTCGAAAATGACACCTTTTATCTTTTTTGACTGTCAAAGTCTCCGAAAAATACAGATTAGCCGGTTTGCTCCTTCAATTCGATTTTTATCAAATAATCATTGACAGTTGCTGTGAAGCGAAGTTGCTTCGAAGATTCTGGAGGATTACCTGATCTTGATGACGTGGAACTTCCTGTCCCTGCAGAATGTGGTGCTGATGAATCCGAGGATTTTTCTCTGATCACTCGTTCCCCATCTCCTGTCGTATCATCAGTACACCGCTCAAGATGTAGAGGATCTAATTCACCCTGTGGCAGAAATTCCTTCGCGAAATCCGCGACGTTCTTTGAAACGCAAACGGAGTAAGGTCGAGCGATGATTTTATTTACGAGTGATGAAATTTATTCTTCGTTTTCATCTCTCGTTGTGGTGGAAGGTCGAGCGTTGATGAGATGTGTTGCCTTGCGAACGTGAATGCGCTTTTTTCTTTTCTTTTATTTTTGTACCTCGAGTGGCTGCCCAAGTCCCATGGTTTCGTTTGTTCAAAATGCGGTTCACTCTTCCCGTTAATTACCTGCTTTCATGATGAAAGCCTGTGGGGATTTTCCCCGTGATAGTTTGATACTTGTTCGCCATGCCAATCGTGATGAAAAATGCCCCATTTTTTTAAGAATGTCGTTGTTGATGTTTTTGTGGTGACGCAGAAATTGTAATCAATCATGATTATTCGTGAGGGATTCGAAAAAACAAAACGTGTGCGATGAAGTTATCCAGGTTATTTTTATACTGTTCTTTATAGGGTTGGGTAACATATCTTTGAACTCTGGAACTGGTCAACAACAGAGATTGTCCACTTTTTTTTGCATTATGCGAGGGGTTACACGGTTCCGCGCGGATCAGCTTGTTGCTGCTATTCCAGGGAAGCTTCAAAATTTAACAATTGAACTTTTCAAAGCCTGTCTCAACTCATGGATCAAAAGGGCTGAGAGGTATGTACAAATTGGTGGTGATGAGGTGGAGGAGGTGTCTGTCTAGCCTTTTCAAGCTAGTGAATATTATAAAAGTGTTCTTTAAAAATCCCTGGTATTTAGGTCATTCTCAAGTTTATATCAAAAGAAGTCCCCGTGGAAACGTGTGACCCCCTTATACAGACAGCTGTCAGAATTTTCAAAAAATTTATCCCACATGAGTTTTAGTGACCTCTCCAATCCCTAAACTTGAAGTTATGCAAGCTTGGATTTGTTTCATGCTATGAAATCGCAGAATAATGAACAGTGGGTTCCTGTATATCAAAAGTAATTCATTCCCTGACTTTGTTATGCACAATTTGTTTCAATTCAATATGGAATTTTACTAGAGTTACAATGAAAAAATATGTCAGACAGTACATCCCTCGCCAAAATTTTTTTATGAACACATAAATCTAGTTAATTTCAGAATGTCACTTACATGAAATAGTGGAAAAAATCAATCAGCATACAATTCATGTTATTCTTGCAATTTTAAGCTGTCCACTGACCAAAATTAACTCATTTTTACAGCTTTTTCAAAAATTTAAATGCGAAATTTGTTCATTTTTGTGTTGAACTACTGCTACAAGACACTTCTCTTGTTTGTGTCAATTTTATCTCCACGACGAATTTGTAATGCTATACTGTATTCATTTCATGGGTCTTTAAAATCTGAAGTGGGGACCAGGTGCTATAATGTATTCGCTTGAGCACTACAGGCGATGAAGTTGAAATTGACCCAGAGTTTTGTGAAGGAAGTGTCTCAATCAATGCTAAATTATGATCAGGTTCATAGAAAAATTACCTTTTCTTTCTTTGTGAACATCATAGCTAGGTTATATTCATGTGTATGTGGAGTATTAAACTTAGAGCAGTGAATTACACTGTAAATCACGTATCACCAGTGATAAATTGTAGCTGCGCATAATAGAGTGTATCAACATAATTAGCTCACATTTTTCCATTCATGAGCTGAAGCTGCTCAACTTTGATGTCTAGAATGGCTTAACATATTCAAACTGATGAAGATTCACCCACTTTTACCCCAGTATTGTAGCATACTGTATTTTAGAACCTCTGGATTCCAGGCTTAACTGAGCGCCATCTGACTGGATGTCCCGTGGACCAGCCGCGGAGGCAGATAATTGATTTCCAGATCCCGGTAGGTGCCCCTTTTGTGTTGGTGATGGAGAAAGTGGAATGAATAGATGTCGTGCTGTGCTTGCTTTAGTGCTTTTGTCGAAGTTATTTTTAGTAATTCCTCATCGTTCGCGCTTGTGGTTGTTCGGATTGTCGTGTTGATGGTTGGATTGCTTATGTCAGGTGAACTCATTTTTTTAAGCATCTCAGTTTATGAGGCGTCGATGTTCGTGCTTCGGTTCGTAATTATTGGTGCTTCAGTTCCTATTAACTGGTATTTTGGTCCCTAAATTGGACATTCCTTTGTTGGTGCGAAACGTGTACGTTTACGGTATTGAGAGAGGTGAAGCTCTTGGAATGTTCCCAAATTTCACCGAAAAATGATTTCTGGTCTTTAGGAAAATGATTTCTGGTCTCCAGATGTCCGTTGATGAGTGAAATGTATCTTTCTTTTGACGGTTCAGGCTTACGCATGTAGTGAGTTTGAATGAAAATCGTAACTGTGCCAGCTGTGGCATGAGTGACACAAATATTCCCGTGTTCGTTCGATTCCCCGCGGCCGCTTCGGAATGATGGAAAACCCTCGCCCACTGCCGAAAATATTCTCCACCTGCCTCATCGAAGGATCGAATGAGAGTGAGGACGTGAGTATGGATGTACAAATTATTTTTTCTACGCTTGTTAATATATTATTATTTTACATGGATTTCCAGCGATTTGAGAAGGCTGCACATTTTTTGCACACTACCATAAATGGACTGTCAGAAAAGGAAACGCATGATGCGTTGATCACAGCTGTTGCTCGTGGACCGAATGTACACGAAGATGTATCAATTGGTTTTCTTCATCGAATCCTCACGGACCCTCCAACTGCCGCTCGCGTGAGAATAATGCCTTAAAATTCCACCTGATCATAAGAAGGTAATTTTGTTCGTTTCGCTAGTCATTCAGGGACATTACTCTCATAGCACGAGATGGACTGCAGTTCGTTGTTGGGAATGTTTCCATCTTGTTGGGAAAAAAGTTTCATCGACTATCAGACACTTCTCGAGTTCAAATTGTTTGGCTTTTGAAAGAAATGATGAGGAGTAACGTCTCTGGAGTGGATAACCTAGTGGCCATGATGCTTCGTCATTTATGCGGCGGAGATCTCAGCGAGAGAAACGTGTCCCTCATCGGAATAGTATTGGACGCGCTCATGGAGTGCAGGTAGGAATCATCAATTGCTTGCAGTTTTCGAAATTATTTCAGTAAAAGTATATATCATGTTCTCTTTACCTGTTCCTGACAGAGCGTGGCTGGAGAAGTCGCCTGTGACGGTTGCGCTCGTAGTTTCGACTTACTTGCGATTGTTGGAGGATCACATTGGACCAGGGTTGGAAGTGTTACGTGTGAAAGAAGCCTCGTTTGTTGTATCGCTGTTGAGAGAACGGTTTCAGGACTGCCTATGGATAGGCCGAGATCTCGTGCGCCTTTTACAAAATGTTGCTCGTATTCCTCAAATTGAAGCATTTTGGAAGGAACTTCTAAATTCGCCGTCGACTATTCAACCCAATTTTCCAGGTTTGCTCTATTTGACATACAAAAGGAATTTATTTCACTGTGATGAAATCTTTTTTAAAATCTTTTCACTAGGTGTGACGCATTTGCTTCAAATTCGAACTCCAAGAAGAGTTCTCATGACTCGGATCTCACCAGACATGGAAGAGAAACTTGTATTCATTGCGAACAAAGTTGAATTTGGACATCAAAAACGTTATGAAGATTGGTTCTCAACAAAAGTGAGTTGTTTTCAGGATATTTATAAAATATCTTCTGTTCTTGATATCATGTAGGAATCGTCTGTTTCAAGTTATTCAGGAAGTGCTTTTTAGTAGGTCGCTCAGATTCGCTGTTTCTGCTGTATGTTCTCATTGTAAAGGAATTCTGAATAAATCTGAAAATCTTTGTTGAAAGATATAGTGTCATAAAAAAGTGAAGAATCACCAATGACCGAATTACGCTATAGCTTATCCTCGTTAGACATGTAGCCGATTTTTCTTATTTTGAAATGCTTTTGAATTTATCGCGTATGTATTTCCGGCGACATTTTGTGCAGTGTTTTTTACAGTATTCTTCCGTCTTTGAATTTGCTGATTATTTAATTTTCTTTTTCTTTCAGTATCTCAGTTCTCCGGAGTCCAGCACCTTGGTCAGCGACCTGATTCGATATATCGTAGGCGTTATTCATCCTACAAATGAGCAACTGTGCTCAAACTTAATCCCAAGATGGGCCATCATCCTGTGGTTACTGCACACGAATCGATCGATGATCAGCGGATCGAACGCCCGTTTGGCCCTTTTCTACGACTTTCTATTTTTCCAAACTGACCAAGACAACATCATGAATATCGAACCCGCTATATTGTTATTACTGAACACTGTGAAACCGAACCCGATGTTCTGCGCTTCAATGCTGGATTATTTGTGCCGAATTTCGGTGAACTTCATGCCATGGGCTGCTGATTTCGTTACCGCCGGGATTTCGAATTCGTTTCGGCACATACTCGAGAAACGTGTTGTGCCATCGTTGGATTTTCTGCTGGCGAATCCCAGCCTCGACCGAACATTGTTAGCTTCATTAATGGAGTATTTCGGAGAGTTCTTCACGACGGAGAAGACTGTACCTGCGCCCGCTGGAATCGTACCTTCTGAACCTGAAGACCCTGGCCTGAATGGGACCAAAACTCAAGAATCTACTCCGTCGCCCACATTCAGTGATGACGAAGACGAAAAGAGACAAGATGGCAGTGAGGAATCTGAATCCGACGAAGACGCGAAAGAAAAAAAGGTACATATTGGCACTCTTCGATCTCCGTGTATTTTTTCAAGAACGTTAAAAAAATTAGAAATGTCGCATTTCGAGAAAATATCTGTCACCTTCAGTATTCACGAATTGCATTGGGTGGGATATTGCATGCAATAATTAATTCTTGGAAAAGTCGTGAGGATTGAGGCGAATTTGGGTTCTTTAGTGCTATTTTAATGAAATCTCTTGTTAAACTTATTACGATGAAACAGGACTACGATCGAATAAGTTTTTAAAATGCGTGTCGCAAGGGATAAGTCTCATTCTTGGTATTCTAAAACTTGGTTGAAAAGCAAGAGTGCAGAAAAATTGATGTTGAATACTCCGAGGAAGTTTTGCACTAATTTCTCGGATGCAGGAAAATGTAAAGAAATCTTCCCATGATGAGTTATACAGTACTGTAATTCTAAGCGCAAAGACACGGGTTGAGGGTGTAAAATTGAAATATATCTGTGACTTCCAGTGACACCTGCTCTGCAAGCAATGTAAGAATTCAGAATTTTAATCGGCAAAGTTATAAAAAACTGTACATCAAATGCATTTCACATTTATTTCCACTCAGCGATTTTTAGCACCTTATACAGTACCAGTAGATTCTGGTTGCAACGTCTATGAATCTTGATCAAAGTTATGTTCTGCAAAAAATGAATTTTTCTGGTCTTGTTGGACCTTCTCATGATTGAAAAAAAAATTTTTCTCTGCAGCGATTTTCTCTTCGTTTTGTATTATTTCCATTCCGTTGAGTATTTTTCTGAAGAGAATCCACCTGGATTTTCCTCTGAACAATGTTCCAATCAATTTTTCAGGTGAAAGAAGATCCAGGCGTGCCGGAGGGTTCAAGCGAATTGCTCGTCAGCTTATCCCGGTTCAAGCATTTGCCCGTTGTGGAAACGCGATCAGTAGTGGGCGACATCTCTCATTTGCTTTCCAAGATCGACGATACTCTGCGGAACAAGATGATGAAGCTGCGGAAGTTGTTGAAGCAAATGCGTGTGGAAACGCTCGACGAAGAAGCCCGGGATGAAGCCAAAGACGAGGCGTGTGCCGTGGTGCGAGAGCTTGTGTTTTGTCTGTGCGACAAGTGGGAACGTGGACGGGAAGAGATGGCTGAACCCTTGGCTGCTAGTTTGTGTGCGGTGTTGGGAGACCAGCTGGAAGGTCCCTTGCTGCCCGAGAATCCGACCGAGGAGAATTTGCAGAAGAGTATTTCCTTGCCGATATTCGCCGTGTTTGAGATCATCTCCGAAATGGGGAAGGAGGACCACAAGCGGCAGCCCGTGATTAACTTGCTCGCTGAAATGTACTCCGTCCGCGTCGCGGTCGGCTATCGACTTCTGTACTACCTCAAGGTGCAGTACCTTCATCTTCTTTGCCTCCTTTATTTACCGTAATTACGATCGATCTCATGTCCGTGTATTTACGCAAATATAAGCCGCGTGTGATTAACGGACAAGCCACGGTTATTGACAGTGATGTAAGAGAGGAACAAGTGCATAGGCCGAAAAATTTGCGAAATTTTTGCGGGACACATGCGTCCAAACCTTGTACAGTATAATGAATGTCCTTCAGTGTGTGAACTTCTCAGTAACGAGTTCTCACACTCGGATCTATTATCTTCCCTTGGAATATGTGTCAGCTGGTTGCGAACTGAAATTTTTCTTTATTTTTCCACAGAATTGTATTTTAAGCATTAAGAAAATGTTTTTTCGTCTGTAATATCCAAGCAAACTGAAATTTGAGGCTTATTTCTAATATAGGGCTTATTCTTCAAGTCAGTGCGGTGTCGCAAATCCTGTATCTTGAGTGTAGGGCACTCCATGTTTTTTTGTTTGGTAAAATTGTTGCCTATATTGTGGTCGAGTAATAAGGGTATTTTTAAACACTCTCCCTACAACAATCTTGTTTGCAACGATTTTCTCTCTACGACGAATTTTTTCTGGTCCCTCGAGATTCGTTGAAGTGCAAGTCCTCCTGTATTAATAAAAATACACTAGGGTTTTTCAGACAAGGTCTTATTTTTAAATGTCAAGAACAACTAAATTAATGTTCGTTTCTTGAATTTTAATCAGAACTTTTTGTGTTGACGATTTTGGGGTGGTATCATTTTCTGATTCTTGAAAAAAAGGTGCAACTACAGATCAGTTGCAGAATAACTCAAGTTAGGGATTTAGATGACATGAATTTGAAAATCCCGGTAGAAAAAAAAAATTGAGGGATGTTACGGTAATTTGAAACCTATTTTTCAGAGCAGGCTTGCATTCACAACATAAAAAAAAGCTATGCTCATTTAGTGATCAAGTCTTATTCTGGGACGAAAATTGTAAAATGTTCGTACATCTCAATTTGCTCATGACCTAGTTCCTCAATATCGCGTCTGATTTGATTGACTTTTCTTCCAACGCAGGTGAAACGGAAAGACCTCGGAGAAGGTTGTTGGGGAGTGTATCGCGACATGTGCAGAGGCCTGCAGGCGGATTTGCAAATTTCCCTTCAGCGGGACGTTGAATTTTGCCAAGACGAAGATCCGGATTTGTTCGTGTGGCTCATGCCGGAATTGTACAAAGCTTACCAAGATCAGGCACTGCCAAGTTGCGACATCATGCGCATGTTCCTGTCATTACTCGACTATCCCCGTCTTCATCATCTCATAAGTGATGTGATGCGCAGCGAAGTTCGCTTCTTGAAGCCGAACACCGTTGCGAAGTGAGCATTTATGATATTTTTCTCAATTCTGTGTATTGAACAATATATCCAAAAGGTTACTATGAATTAAATGCAGTAAAATCTCGTTACAGCGAGCTTCTTTGTAACGAAAAATTCGTTTATAAAGTCTTGTAACTCATTTAACATCGTGGCTATTGGACAGGGACCTAAAAAACGATTTCGTTATGAGCGATTATTCGTTGAAACGAAATTCTAATTTGTAATCCATCTGATGATAAAAGGAAAATTCTTCATGAAGAAACTCATCTAACATCGTGGCTATTGAGCAGGGAAAGAAAAACGACTTCGTTGTGATTCTTCGTTAAAACGAGATTCCACTGTAATTTGTAATCCATCTGATGAAATCTCAAACTTCGTCTTTTTCAATTGCAAATTTTCAAGGCTCTGCATTTCTCGATGTAAAAAAAAATATCCAACAACGTTTTTCGCGTGCCGACTTTTCCGATTTCTTCTCCCCGCATTACCGGAAACGATAGGAATTTCATATTTTTGAATAAACGGATTCGCTGAAATTTATGCGTTTTTGTTTTTTTCCAGAATGGTGTCTGCCAGCTACGATTGGGACCAGTGGGTGCAAGCATGTCTGTGGCAACTGATACTCGCGCACAACTTTTCAATAGCCACGCTGGTCAACTGCTTGCCGCTTCCTAAAAAGCAATGTTCCGTCGCTGCCGTCCACTTGCTCAGCATGGTGCGCAACACGGAGCCCACTCAGGAAATGGTGTCTCGCGTGCTCGCCTGTCCAGTCACGTGTGACAATTCCCCGGTCCAGTCCGAATTCGTCCTCACCGTGCTCAGTCATTGGGAAGATTGTTGCGGGCGGCAGGTGTCTGGGTACGTGGCGGCCGTGTTGACGAACCTGGCGTCGAATGCGGCGTCTATGTCGCCGTCGAAGCGGAAACGCGGGTCCGGGCCCGGCGGCAAAAACGCTGTGCCCACACTGGACTCTGCACTCAGTCACTTGTGCACATTTAGTCGGGAACGTGGGCCGAGGACCCAGGTGTTGGGCAGTGACGAGGTCATGGTGGCGCTGAGAGCAGTAGAAGAGGTTTGCTCTGCGGAGCAGAAGAAAGACTTTCTTGAGGTTAGTGTTTGTGTATGTTTATGTTTCTTAGCGGGAAAGTTGAGATCTTGTTTAAAGGTAAGCATTTAGATTTTCAAATTTTGAATAAAAAAAAAGGTGTGTTCCGATTTCCTTTTTGTCAATGAATCGAGAGTTGTTCTTGAAAGTTATTTGAGAAGAAACTCAATGTGCGTCCAATTTTAAAGAAATTAAACTCGCATTTGGAAAAATTTCAAATTTGCAATCTTGAAACTGTGGATCACTGTTTCGAACTGGCTTCGTTTGAGCAACAAAATCAATTTGATTCGTTCAAAAATTTAAACTTAAACGCAAGTGTTGTCAACCATTAAACAAAAGCATGTCTCCAGGCAATTTTTTCTTGAGGTTTCGAATCGGAAGGCAAAACTAATCCGCGTTGATCTTGTATTTATGAATATGGTGTTGTTTTCAGTGCAGTTAAAGATAAACTATGCTTTTATCGTTCAAATTCCAATACCGTAACAAACTTTTATTGTGTTATCTTTCGCTTAAAAGTACAAGATCCATTTCTCAACCCTTGAACATTTGTAAAATTGTTCTGAAATGTCTGTCAACGCTGAATCGTCATTCAACCAAAATCGTGTTTACTCATTGTCACGGACAGATTTTCTTTTGGAGGATAAAGATTTGAGCAAATTGATCAATGCTGGAACATGTGGAATATTCACAAGTGGGAATAAATTGAAAGGGGGGGGGGGAAAGGTTATGAAGATCGACTCTCCGCAACGATTTTCTCTTTACAGTATAAGGCTTTTTTTCTTCTTCATCACACGTAGTCGTTGGAAGGTATCATACGTTATTTGTGCTGAATTGGTTTATTTGCCGATAGGTACTGAGCAAAGCACATGGATATGCACCAAAGGCTGTGCGGGGTTCGGGTAAAGGCGGGGGTCGGGGCGGCGGTGCAGGCAGAAAAGCGGGAAGCAACCGGAGCAAAAGCAAAGTGAAGAAGCTGAGCACGTCGGAAGAGGAGGAGAGTGAAGATGAGGGCCCAACGCTGAAGCCAAAGCGACGGCGGCAACAGCAAATCACCTCGGACAGCGATTGATCCCTGGTGGTGACGAGGTGATGCTGAAGCTGATGAGCTGTGTTTTCGGGCTTCTGCCCTATTTTCTCTTAACGCTGTCCGCTCTGATTTTGATTTTTATTCATTGTGCTGAGGGCGAATTGAGTTCTTTTTTTAATGGCAACTCATTGAAAGCGTCTCAGTTGATTCAAGATGTGTTGCGTTTTTTTTTTGTGCCTCGTGTAATTCGCCTCCTTTTTTGCCGTCACTTTGAAACTTCGTTTGATACTTGAGAAGTAAAAACTGTTGATGGATTTTACCAAACGATGCTGATTTCTTCCTTAATTTCCGGGTCTACAGTATGTTTACGCGAATTTGAGAACCCCTCCAATATTAGCACCCCCATGATTATTCATGCGCAAAATGAAATAAGGCCCTTAATGTGCATGAGCACCCCCTTATATTCCTGCTGTTCTGACTTGCCATATTGCACTGATACCGTGTTGCTTGAATAATAGATAATGAGTAGTAATATTTATATTTTATTTCTAAAGACAAAGTATTTCCATTTAAAATATATCGATTTCTCCAGTGACTTGAAAATTGAAAAAATGTGTGCGTATATTGGCGCAATTTGAAGAAAATGCAAATGCAAACACTACCCTTCTTTTTCAGTTTATAAAATTAGAAAGAAGGGGTGCTGTGTTCGTGTAAATAATGTACAGTATACTGTAACAAGGTGTGTGTGGCTCATACCTCTTTTCAATCTGAGCTTTCCTGTGAAATTGTGGTAGTTACTAAGATTGTGTGCTTTTATTCTGATGTACAGGAAAACAAGGCAAGGGGATTCTTGAATTAAGTGATGCTTTTCAAATCACTAAAGCCTTAGTGTAGAGGTAGTACTGTTTGCTGATGTAAAATTAGCTTAACCCTAAAAGGGTTGGCACTGGGCAGACTTTGAAGATATTCATTTGTCCTGTGTACCAAGTACAGGTGGACTCTCTACCTCAGAACTCAAGGGACCAGAACATTTTTTTTATAGAGAATTTTGTTGTAGAGAATCCTATGGGACCACAAATAAATCTATGGTAAAGAGAGAAGAGTTTTGTGGTCAACATTGTTGTAGAAATGGTCCACCTGTATGTTTCCACATTTTGTATGTCCAGCAAATGTGAGTAGGTCTACTGCTACCGGCTTTGGTGCGTGAGGGGTTCGATTCTGGCACTTGTACGTACACGAGAGGTGACCCACCGAAAAATCTATGCGCGCCGCCATGACTTTTGACACTCTCGCCATCTATGAACAGAACATTGAACAATGAATCTCTCCAGCAACACTGGCCAGACTCCCATATACAGTTCTGTACTCCTCTGCGTTATGACGCAAGTTCACAATCACCATGAAACTTCAGGCCTCCTGCTGGTAGAAACTTCAGGCCTCCTGCTAGTATAGAAACATAATCTCCCTGCTATAGTAGAAACCTAATATCCCTTCTTGTAGAAACTTCAGGTCTCTCTTCTTGTAGAAACATAAAAGATCCCTTCTTGTAGAAACTTCAAATAACCCTTATCTTGTAGGAACTTCAGATCCCTTCTTGTAGAAACTTCAAATACCCCTTCTTGTAGAAACTTCCAATATCCCTTCTTGTAGAAACTTCACATATCCCTTCTTCCCAGCAAAAAAATTGAGCATTCATGAACCCATTAGAAACCCATTCAAAAAAAGTGTATCCTGCCCGTTCAGAAAATGGTCTTACAAGAATCTCTGAACTAGTTAGCTGGGCATTCAACTAATGCCCAAATGAACGCCCCCATATAATTTTAGTGCTGGCATTGGAGTGGACCATTCATGAACCCAGTAAACAAATGGGTCTTCAAATGGGCTCAAAAATCCGCCTAAAATTAAAATAGTCATTTATCTAGCTGTCATATCTCAATTCTCCACCTTCAGTCACCCACACTAAACTCCTATTTTGAACAATTCTCACCTGGCTTCTGATAACTTAGCTATGCCACTCTCGGGAGTTCAAACTCTGCTACCTTGAAAATCCTCTGCACCCTCTGGGGTTTGAACCCACACCCTCAGGAATGGAGGCCTGCCACCTTATCCACTAGGCTATACACCACATAAGAATATAACTGCAGATGATTCTTCATACTTATAGTTTGACTTTTTCATTTCAACAGGATTGTTTATCAATCCAATTCAATCTTTTTGAAATTGTTTTAAAGTTTTATAAAAGTAATCCATTAATTGTTCCAAAGATGAATTGAATTTTTATTACATTTTTGAATGAATAAGTGGGACTGTACTGATATACAGTATATGCAAAACTGTCTTATATTTATACTTTATGTACAGTATTGTATTGTATATGCATTCATGACAGTTCAAACACAAATCATGTGGTGTTACATCTCTCATGACATATATATGTATAGTACAATAAAGAGCAATCCTGTATGCATCTTTGCTTTGAAAAAATGAAAATTTCTTGTATATTGATTCTTGCTTATACAATATATGTCAACCTTGCAAAATTACAAAAGTTTTGGATCTACATTTTATTTAAGCAATTCAACCCACTAATTTATTGGTTTTGTGCCTTGCATGATATATTGCTTATTATTTGAGGTTTGTTTACATAATGACTGTTCCATCAACAAGCTCAGTGCAGTGAAACTGTAAATTTATTGACTAAAATTCTAAACAGGGCACATTGGCAATTGTTATATTATCATTGAGTGGATTTTTTGCATTGAAATTGCATGCAGGTAATTTTTGTCTTGATTTAATCATTGAATGCCCAGTTGATGGACATATAAACTATATAATTCAATGGCTAATTTTTCATCATCTTGCATCCATTATACAAAAAGGGTTTTATGTTGTTTATATGAAGAAACTGGGCATTCCATGATGAAATCAAGACAAAAAGGCAGTAATGTTTGTCTTGATCATGGGATGCCCAGTTTATGCATATAAACTATATATAAGCCTCATAGTTATGAATGCAAGAAAATGAAAAATTAGCATGTAAAATTATATAACACAATTCAGAAATATGGGTATATTCGATGGTAATCCACTTCTTTGTGAAGTGCTTTCGGAACGATGCTCGTTTTCTGCCGATTGTCCGAGTTTTGTGTTCAGCACTGGTCGAGCTCAAACCGGTGTCGATGATCTATCCGGAATTCGATTGTTCGCCGGAGGAAACTTCGTTCCAGATGATCGTGTAATTTTGTGGTACGTAAGTTGATTATACACTGGCGATTTCCCCCAGTTTGAGTTTTCTTCTTCGTAGGAAATCTTCGATTCAAGCTCACGACTTCGTCCTTCATCTACAAGAAGTTTCGTTGAACTCTCAGAAGGAAGGCAGTCAAATTAAATTAGTCTTCCCGGGATGCATACTTCTGGATGGGGTTACCGTTGCGTCTATCTCTTCAGAAGGAGAAGATTACGTGTGTGTTTTGGTGCCAACGAGTTCCGCCGTCTTCCGCATTTTGTTCAGCGATGAGAAAACCGAAGGATCTGTTTTCCGGAACGCGCCTTCGGGGCATCATTCCCTGGATGTCAGATCCGATCAGAGTAAGTCATAATCGTGTTTTTCCTTTGCCTCGACGCATTTTTTAAAACCTTTTTGCCTACGTGAAGGTGTGTACGCGGCCTGTTCGAAGTGGAAACGGGAAACGAAAGAAGCTTTCTTCGCTGTCGCGAATCGACTTGGAGAGACTCACCTGATCATTCTGAATGAAGATGGGGACGAAAAGTGCTATCGAATTCTCAGTGATGGGCAGCCACTGCTTGGTCGCCTGACGGGCTGGATGCGTCTAGGTGGAACAAAAGATGAACCTATGTGCGCTGCAAAAGCTTTATGTTTCTTGGACTGTCCGGGATCACAAGACGACCTGCTTCTGGGAGTTTGCAAGGACCGCGTTATCAGAATATGGAGTGTTGGGAGTCGATATTGGAAGCGTGATGTTGATCTAGGTCTTGAAGCGATGGACGCCGAAAAATCTCACCACTTCGAGCGTGAGTTTTATGTGTTGAAGAAATATGTGGTGAGAATTATGCTAGATTTTCAGATCAAGTCAAGTATGTTTTAAGATTGAGTTATTTTTTATAAGTTCAATCTCCATGATCTGGAGACAGCTACACCAGGAAATTACGGACTTGTATTCCTCAAATTAGAAGTATCGATAAAAGATGATTGAAATTTCTCGATGTAGGTCAGAGAGTGCTCGTGGCTTGTTCATACAACGCTCGTGGGCATTTGGACACGGTGCTCATTTGCCTGTCGAAAGATCCGAAACATTCGAGCGACTCGAGAACTTGTGTGAAAGTTCTGCGTCGGTGGTCACCCGACTTCCAACCGGCGTCTCGTCGTTCGGTCAACCTGCCCACGTTGTCAAAATGGACCAGCGTGGTGGACATGAAGATTTGCAATGCCTGGGCGTTTTGTCTAACCAGTGACCACGGTGTAATAGCCTTTGACCTTGACACTTGCGCGGAGTGTATTCCTATCAAAGGAATGCACGGGCCTCCGAGAAGCGTGCCTGCGTTGGTGGCCTTTGCCAGAGGGGATGGTGTCGGACGTGCGGACCACGTTGAAGATGAAGAAGACGACGAAGGGACGGAGTTGGATGAAGCTCTGCGGTTTGATTTTTGTGATGGGGTTGAGAAGTGGTGGAGTACGAGGGGAAATCCCTCGCGTCCCGTCTCTGCCATAGTCATGGACTTGCTGGGAAAGCCGGAATTCTTTTCTGTCGACCAAATAAAGCGTGCTTTGGAACATTTCCCTGCTGCGTCTTTGTAAGTGAATCCGATCATCGTATTTTTATTTTGGAAGCTGTGCATTGTTTCGTGGAAATGTGATCATGAATAGTTTCTCTTTCAGATTCTTTTTGATCTGCAGTTGCCTTCAATCATGTATTTTTTTCTCTTTCTTAAACAGGATTTTCTAGAAAAAGTAAGCAAATTCTCAAACGGAAACGCAAAAAAAAGTCAAATTAAAGCTCACACACTATCGATTGAAATGTATTCAAATTAAATGTTTTTCTACATGAAATGAGTTGCGCGCAAATTTCGAAAAGGAGAATTTCGGAGAGAAATTCGCCGAGTGCTTTGTAGGTACTGCCCTGTGTATGCTGGTTAAAACGCTGTCATTCATCCTCTTAAAAATATAGATCCTGTATTTTGTCCACAAATGTTTTGTATATTTTTTTGGACCCAAAAGTTATTTTCTATCACAATCGTCGGAAATGATTATTCCACTGCCGAAAATTGGAAATTCATAACGAAGTTCGGTTTTCAGCTCCTTGAAGCATTTATTTATTGGAAGGAAAGGTAATTTTCGCCGTAAATGAATTCGAATGAATAAATCAGCAGCCAGATTAATGAAGCATTGTTTCACGAGAAGTGTGATTATTTTTATCCATTACGTAAAGTTCGCTTCAATATTTCTGGACACAACTGGCGTAAAATTAGAGGAAGCTTGAAACTGAAGCGTCAGTTCCCTCGCTTCATTATAAGTGTTGTATCAGATAAATTCAAGTTATAGTTCCCTTACTAATGATTATCACTTTTTCTCCTGCTTTGCAAAGGTTGGCTGAAAACAAACCGATCACGAACAATCGTCAAGAGTGGATCCGTCATGTGGCCACTGTTCTGAGGGCGGAACACAAAGGTGTCTCGATAGATAATGTTTTGGACGAGTTTGCTGGTTCCAGTGAAGTGGATAAGCCCCAGAGTCCTACTAACTACCCTTTATGCCCGGAGAAGCCCCTAAGCTTACCTCAAATACCACCACTTTCGCTCGCCTACCTACTGCTACGTGAGCAGCGTTTAAAGTAAGTTTTAGGGTAGTACGTTCGGTCCGTGCTTAATTGGGGTAAGTTTAAATTGTAACTTGGTTATACAATTGCGTAAGTTTTTTTCCTTCAAAATCTGTAGTGTTTACATCATTGAAGGTTGTACGCTGTCAATGAATGCTACAAACGTTTTTTTTAGTGTCTTGCAGTTGCAATTGAGTTCTTCGCCTACCCAAGTTTTGAATTTTGAAATCTAAGTAAGTGTAGGATAAAAAACCTGGATTTGAGACTTTCTTGTTTTGATGCATGGTTGTTCGTACACTGCACGTGATATTCTGATACTTTTCAGTAATTATTTGCTCTGTTTTTTGGCTTATGTTGAGGAATTTATTTCTTCCACAGATGAAAATTCGATGGAAATGAATTTCGAGCAGGAGCGAAGCCAGGAACTGAATGCTCGAGTAGGCGGTGTACTCGAAGAAACCGAAGACGTTTGGCTGACGTTTTACGAACAACTGCTCGGTATTCACAAGGAAGATTTATCTTGTTTGGGGCTGTTCGTGGACCAGAATTCAGGGATCAAGGCAGTAGTGCGACAAAGCTGCGTTTCTTTTGTCAGAGGTCTAAGTTTGCCCGAAGACATTATTCGAGTCGGGGCGTTAGCGAGAGCTGGTAGAATGACGGTAAGTTTCCGATGTGTGCTGTAATCTACGTGAGATGCCCCATTCCCGTATGGCCTCAAGTTCTTTTCCTACAATAAAGTAGTTTTCTTTGCAAGCGTCCCAAATGTGTTTCTAGGATCCCTGCAATTTTTTTTTCGCACTTGAGAATGGACCGACGAATGAAAATGAGTTTTGGCAGTAATTTGGAGACCTTCAGACTGATGAGTTTCTAACGGGATGCATTGATGAAACGCTGATAGATTTTTATTCGATAATTTTTTTTCTACGCGTGAGAAGGGGTTGCATTTCTTCGTGGATCCTGCGGAAATTGCAGAGATCATTGTTTTCAAATTTTTTCCAATTCTCTGTTTAAAAAAAGTTGCGTTTTTTCAAACCAATATCAGTCCAAATTGATGCACATCGCGAGAAATTCGTGGGTCCCAGGGTTTTCGGTATCCTCACGACTCACTCTTTTTTGAAACCCTAATGAGAAGACTAAAAATTCAAGGATCTATTAAAATATCAACGCACAGTTATGGAGCCTACGAAGACCATTGCCCGAGAGAATAAATCATGGCTGTGTGGGATTCAAGCATCTCGTGTATTAAAAAAATTCTAAAAATAAACAATGAAGAATAATATTGATCTTTGTTTTCGTCATAGGAAACGGAAGGCGTTCTTTTGACGATAAATCGCATGTACTCCGAAGACCTGAACCAGAGTAAACGCATCCCGAAGTCAGTGGTTGCTTACAGTCGTGTTTACGCCGCACTTGTGGGAGGATTAGTTTCTTCATCGAGTCGCGGCTCCTGGAGGAGAATTGTTCGTATTCTGGATCACGTGTTGAATGTGTATTGCACCAGAGGAATTGGAGCCTTTGAGTGGGACGCGATGAAAGATCGCGACGGACTCGTTGATCTCGACGGATTCGAACCTGCCATTGCTCTGGTCAGTGACTTGATGGAAAGTGGATGGAAATCGAATCCGGACGAGCTTCAGAAGTTTATGGAGATGTTGGAGTTTGATCCTGGTGAGAAATCCTCGTTTCCCCGAGAATTATTCTTCGACATGGGATGCAAAAACCTGCTTAATCATCGTATTCAGTTTGCTTTTCCCTGAAACTTTGGTATTGTGCAGTATTAACTTACTGTAGTAACAGTATCAACGTCCTTTTTTTCGTTTTCTGGAATGCATACTCGTTTTCCCTGTTCAGGGCATGTAAAAGAAACGGTTGAAAATTTTTTTTTTACGGATGAGAATTTTGAGGCGTATTTGTTAGACTAAGAAGTCTTAACAAAGAAAATATGAGAATGATGAATAAAACACAACATTCAGACTGGGACTGGCTGGGAGCCTCTTATAGAGGCCCCAAAAGAATTAAGTATTTAGTGATGTCCCAAAAAAATAGTGCAACTCAGAGAATTTTGGACTTTGCACACACATTTCAAACAACACAATAGTAACATCAGATGTCTTAAGATGAGCTCTTCACACTTCAAGAATTGGCAGTGGAATGGAATTCATTGTTAAATGTTTTTGGAGACAGAAGAAAGAGAAGGAAAAGTGGTTTTCCTTGTGGGAAAAATATTGGCCTCTGATTGGCTGATTTTGTTGGAATCAAAGACGATGCTGTGCGTCGTCCTACAATTCCTTTGGGACTCGTTTTTTGGTGCTGGGCTTCTGCAAAGGACCAGTTTTTGGGATGCAGCAGTGCAGCGGAGAATTATTATAATTAATATTTACAGGTGCCCGACTCACTTCCCATCAGTATCCAAAGATTGCCTTGTTGAAACTTTCAAGAAATTTGCGCAAGGGTCATTCGATGTAGAAAACAACGAAATCTTCGTGGAAGTTTTTCAAGTTCATTTTTTGTTTTAAATTGCTAAGATAAAGGTGCGAATTTTAGGTTTTCTGAGAATAAATCTTATTAGATTGTTAACATAAATGCACAATCCTTCGTGTTCAGAGGAATCCTTTTGTTCACTCACATGTCGAAAAGTTGTGTGAATCCCGGTCGTGAGTGCCGCATCGTCTCAAGACTCAAATTTTCTTGTTGCTTCAATTTTTAATGTTGGCAAAATCTCAAAAGCGTACCTTACATGCATTATTATTATCTTTTTCTATTGAAATAATTTTAGGGTGCATTGAGAAGGCGAGGGAAAGCGTTGTGAAAGGGGTTCAGCCTCTGCAGCCGTTGGTGGACTCTCCGACGTTCGGTCCCATGTGGATGGCTGGTCCTGTTGGAACTGAAATCGGTGTGAAAGCCATCGCCGATGTCATGGAAGCCAAGGCAGTTCTGGTGTCCCTAACGCCCTTGGTCGACATTTTGTGCACCTGCATTTCTCGTCTCGGTCGGAAACCTTCGCTGGCGATGAAGCTGCATATTAGGTACCATATATTTAGAAATTAGACTTGAGGTGTACATTTCACCCAATTTTTATAGGATGAACGAAAAAAAAATACAGATGATTTCAAACTAGGTTGATTTTCGGAATGATCGAGAAAAATGTCAAGAGATGATGCCTGTTTTGGTACTGTAAAATCAAATCTACTAAATCTATAAAATACGATACTCAGTTCGGAAAATTGGATAAAGTTTCATTTAATTTTTTTAGCTGTTCAGAAATAGTTGGAAAATTGAGAATTTGTACTTCTTTTGGGCCACCTGGTGTATGGTGTACAGTACTGTACTGTATTGAGAATTGCGGTAACAGTCTTAATCTCTGCGACAAGTTTTTCTGTAGTGTCCAATAAAATTATATATTGATGAAGTGCATTTAGATGTCGATGAAAGTCAGAATTGCGAACTATTCTGGGTCCTCCCCTTATTTACATGAGAGTTGCGAAAGTGAAATTCAAGGGTTGATTGTGTTCCACGAGTCATTCGTATAAACAAACATTGATCGCAAATTTTTTATGATCAGGTATTTGAAAGTTCAAAGCTTCAAACAATTTCTAAAATCTTCTCTTTTTCTGCGTACGTTTTACTCGAGATGTGAGACGCACTGATGAAACTGACTTGCGTGTAGCAACGTTTCTGTACCCCTTTGACTCGTAGAGCCCTTGTTTTGAATAAGTTTATTTGAAACAAATTATAAATATGCCTTTATTAATAATTATGCCCTTGAAAACAATTTCTTAGGTTACTTTACTTAAGGGTATAGCAGTGTCCTTGCCTATTTTTCTGTGGGTCCTAATTTTTTATGAGCTTATTATCTCTCTTTTCATGCATGCTCCTCACTTAATTCTCGTGTCCTTTTTTTCCATTTCATTTTCTATTTCCGCGGAGTCCCATATTTGAGAATCTCTGCTCTTTGATCAAGTGGACGGTGTTGTGAAGTTATTTTCACCGTTTCCTGCGTTTTCTGTTCTTATTACAGACCACATGGCAGTTCTCAGATCCGCTTCCCGCAACTGCGTGCTCTTCCGAGAGTCTACCACGAAACCATTCGTATTCTCTCCTCTCAAATGCCTGCTCCGAACAAGGATAGAGAATTGTTGCTGAATGCTTCTGCGGCAAACAAACGCCGCAAGTTTGACGACACTGTTGAATTGCAATGCCCTCGTTTGACGGACGGTCAGCGTTTGTTGGAGGACTTCATCAAGTCGGTGATTCGTGTGCGCTTTTTGGAAGACTCGTTATGCGGGGAATGGCTTCCGCTGCCGACTTTCCTGAATTTCGGTTGGGACTGGGGCGTTCCGAAATTTGCTTCATTTGCTGCCCGCCGGTTGTGGGCTGGCACTTCAGCCGAGATGATTGTGTATTTGCGGAATGCTGGGATTGTGGACGAGATGTTCGAGCTTCGGGACGCCGTGGTGAATCTGGCTAAATTTGTGATTGGTGAGTTGAATATTCAATTTTTTGTTTCAGCCTGTGATTTTTGGAAGATTTCCTGATACGAGTTTCCTACTGTACTTGGGTGGATTTTCAGAGAGTGCGACGTAAAGTGGATGGAAGGGAATGAAAATGTCCCTTGAAGGAGATTTAGAAGTCGGAAACTCTTGCTAAGTCAAAACTTGTTCCTAACAAGATTTTTCTTGCTTTTACGTTGTATTTTCTTAATTGAGGTAAAAATCAATGTAAAAACGAGAATGAATCAACGAATATTTTACTTCCTCCAAAGTTTAAACGAGAGCAGTATTTTTGTACAACTTCCTGGGCTTCAACATGTGGCTTCAAAAAAAATTAGGGAGTACAGAGTATGAGTTTGTACTAGTTTCAAATTTCCCGCGCGACGATCGCTATACTGTGCATTGAAGATTTTCACTTCTCGAAGTTACTGAGTTTTTCACACAATCTCGCATTTCCGGTCTCTCTACCTTGAGTTTAGGTCGCTCTTGCTGTAAATTATTGTGTCGATTTAGCGACTAAACGTATGACTAATGTATTTTGTGATGATAAACAGAATCCGGAGTTGAAATTTCTGCGGAAGACCACACCTCCTTAATGCTGTCAGCTGCTTGTTGGTCTTGGTTGCCTTACGATGATAACAAAGCCGCAGTGGCGTCGACTCCTGCTAATATGGTTGCGGATGCTGCTCTGGAAGCCGCTTGGTTTGTCGGAAATTGTCTAGAAGAAACGACTTTGATGCATCGCTTTTTGCGCTGCATGAATTGGGAGGATGTGGCTGAAACGGCGTCCAGGTCGCGTCATCAACAAACGTCCCGAGCGATGGCGGTTTTGCTCAAGATTCTGAACGATTTGGATAAATGGGGTTTACTCGACGTGGCGGCCAGGTGTTGTGCGGAAGCGAGGAGTCGTTTGCGGTTTTTCTTGCCGGAAGTCGAGGTTTGCTACGAGTTTTTAAAAGATTTTTTTGATTTGAACGCCCGATTTTCCGGAATGCGTACTTTACCCGTATTTTCACGAATATATTCACCTCCCTGAATTTTTCGTGCGCAAAATTAAAATTCCATCCTTAGGCGAATAGAAGCACCCAATTACTCACCTAGTGTTCTGACTGTCCAGGAACCTAAAATTTCTGACAAAATTCAGGTTCTTTCCAGAAAAGGAAAAACGGTGTCACATAACCCTTGCTCTTTCTCTCCAGTCAATGACTCATGCATCTTGAAGAGCTAAAAGCTGACCATTTCTTGATAATTCTTTTAATACTTAAATGTTCAATCCCAAAAGAACTGAACAAAAGCAGTGCTCAATCGTTTTGTGGGCCGCGAACGGAAGATATCCTGATGAAAATGCGTATTTCGCGAATTTTATTTCGTAGATAGGCAAATATCTGCACCCCCGTAGTTTTTGAGCTTCTAAAATTGGAAATGAATTGCTACTTATATTCGCGTACATACGGTAATCTCATTTTATAAGTCTCGCCTGGATCGGTTGAATCCAAGTTAATCCAAGTATAATCGAATTCGGCAGAAGATTTTTTTACAACTATCTGACCTGATTTCAAGGAATTCTTTTCAAACAAATGAGAGAAATGTTTAGACCAAAATACTTCGCACGATTCGTGCTGCGAGAATGAGTTTGGTCTGATATTTATTGCAAAGATGATCTAGGTCCAACTGTACGCGTAAAGCATTCCATTTTTTGAAAATGCAATTTTTTTTCCTGCGAATATTACATTAGTTCTCGTCAATTTTCAGTTTGACTCCAGGTTCGGCACGCAGCTGATCTCCTTCAGTTTCAAGCACAGTTTACAACGTGGGGGATTTACCACGTGTTTCACTTTGATTCTGGGCTGTAAAAATCGTCTGGAGCAGCGATTGTGGATTAGGCAGTTGTTGGCGAAGGCTGCTTTGCCCCAGGATCAAGGAATCAAGCGTGTTCTTACCCTGCCATTCTTTTCGGCATCAGATTCTCTGTTTGAAGACGCGTGTCTTTACCTGGAATCCCTCGCCAAGTCCAGGCCTCCCGTCGGCAATGATGTCTATTCAGTATTGAAAGTGCTGTACGTGAAAAAGGGATATTATGTGCGAGGTAAGTTTTTTGTCGAAGTTTGCGTTTCCTCCTTTTTCTGTTTGTTTGATGCTGTTTTCTTGAAATTCAATTTTAACTGGTCTTTCTGCGGAAATTGCAAAGAAATTATCAAATACAGTACTGTACTGTACAGTATTTCGTCTCGCAGCTGGAACTCACTCACGAAAATTTTGGAGAGGTGTCGCCCGAATCACAAGGCTGATTTAATCGAGTGTAAACTCGCAGATCCCGACTTAACCCTGATGAACATCGTAGACATTGTGCTAGATATATTCGAATTGCAAATACAAATAAAACCAATTTATAAAGGATTTAAAAGAGGAGATTACTCAATCATTGAAATATGTTTCATCGATTTTCAAACTTCTCCTGGGGCAAAAGTAAACCAAGTTTCTGTTATACGTAAGTTCAGTACGGTGCTAAATATGCAAGTATCAAAAAGAAGGTTTTTTACAGTAAAAAAATTCGAAATTGTTTATTGCCAAAATTCTGCACGATGTAAATGTTCAAACTCAATGAATCTGAGGATGAAATAAATATAAATATGGTTCAGACAAAGTTTACGACTAACTTGAATTTATCCAAGTTTCCTGATAAACTCGTCAAGTCACAAGTTTGCGTATGTTATTTTGTAAAACTCATAGTCCGGAGTCCAGTTGGGACTAATCACCTTATTTTTTTCGTTCTAAATTTTATTTTTTCCGCTTAATCCTGATGTTGTTTCGTTTCCTGGTCATTTCACGCCTGCGCTGAAATATTCGGGCCTAACGTTTTGAATTATGTGTTTTATGCAACAGCGGCCTGCGTAGGGTTCGAACTGAGTACCAGACTGGAAGCGGAATCACACGGGGTTTCACCCGAAGATCAGGTCAAGATGCTGAATCAGGCTGTGACCGGTTATTGTGGAGCCGAGATGATGTTGTCATATTCGATCGAAGACGGAGGTCCGGGTTTTTTCCTCCATTTCCCGTCGACGCCCTCGGCCAAGGCCAGCAAAGCCCCGCAGTTTCCCAATGGAAAGATCATCGAACTTGGTAAATTTCTATCCATTTTCTCGAAAACCTGAGAGGGGGTTTATATGTGCTAGTGCTTTTCAATGTACTGTACTGTACTTTCTTGGTAATTTGACTGACGAAAAGGCAGAGAAGCGTTTTGATGAATATGGAAAATGATGCTGGCCGCCTCATTTCAAGAAAGGTCAAAACATTACTACAGTATTTTGTGGCAGTGATTTTTTTGGCGACAACAGTTGAATTTTTCATTGAACTGTTCAAAATGGGTTTAAGATCCCTCAGAAATTTTCTTCGTAATTTTTTTATATTTGTACAGTAGATGTATTTTTCATTATGCTATAGTTTTTAGTTCAACACTGCAGTGATTTTTCAACGACGATACAATTTCATGTTGTCTTCTTATATGGAGCCGAGTCCATTACTGTATTCACTGTAGAAATATGTAGTTATTTTTTAAATTCTGCGGCGGAAAAAAAAGAAAAAAACTACCTCGAGGTTCCAGTTTTCCATGAAAATCCTTTGACGACTCGCAGGACTTTTTTCTTTAAATAAAACCCCGTTTAAGGATTTCCGGTTAAGGATTACTGTTCATCTCATTTTGTTGTTGTCTTCCAATCAGACAACGTCGTTCGAAGGAAGGTGTTCTGCATGGGCGCCTTGGCAGCCTGCGAGTTTTTACTGGCTCGGGGAACAGGTTCCCGGAGACTGGTTTTCAACGTTGAAGAAAGAGACGAAGAAGCTGAAGCGAAGGACATGCTTACGAGATTATGTGATCTCGGGCTTTACTCTGCTGCTGTTGTCTTGTGTAAAGCCTGGAAATTGGACCGAGGCATCGTTTTTGCGTCGATTGCAGACCGAATCGTGGCCATGCATGGGTGAGGGGCATGAACACTTTTCATGACTTGAAATGGCAGAAAATTGAGAGAAACTATGCTGTACGTTTGGTATTTTTTGTCGAAAGCACGCTGATAATATATTTCTGGATTTATTTATTCTAAGAATTACGATGAAAGATCCGAAGGGAAAGCCTAGTTGGGGAATGCAATTTCAATTCTGCCGCCACCGGAGTGATCGTACCTGTATTTTTAATCCTGTGAAATACTAAAATTTTAAAAAGTTTTCAAAAGTTTCGGATTATCACTTCAAATATTGACCGTTGGGATGTCTGTTGAAGGTTGGCGTTGAAAGAGAAACCTGCATATAAGCTCTTGAAATTTTTTTAAAGAACCGTTCGATTTTAAGTCATTTTCTTTTACATTGTACAATATTTTTTTACATGCATTCACAATAACATTCTGGTAAAAATTAGTGCCCTTGAAGTAATACGTGATACGAAAGATGACCTGATGAACCTCCAATTGACAATATTTTTTCAACTTTGTTCAAGTCGACTCTCTCTACAACGATTTTTTTGTTCAATAAATTCTTATTTGGTCCCATAGGGTTCTCTTCCCATGCTCTAGGAGTCTAGGGATTCTCTACTACAAAAACCCTCTACAACGAATTTTTTTCTGGTCCTTTAAATTTCGTTGTATAGACTCAATAGAGAGTCCACCTGCTTGAAATATATTGAATATTTCAGGAGATTCCGCAGCTGGAAACTTCATGCGATAATTTCCTGTTGAAAAGACAATTTTGTAAAAAAAAATGTAGAAATCAAATTTCCTGTTTTTCTTTCTTCTCAGGGGCCAATTCCTCAACAACGCTTGGCTGGAGAAAAACTATGACGCCGTTCTGTTTGCGAAGGACCCTGAATCTAGACATGCGCAGTGGAACTCATTTCCCGTGACGAACAGTTTTCTAGCAAAAGCCTGGGTCTTGTTGGAAATCCTTTGCGTGGGTCAAGAGTCTGACGACGTTGAAGACTCCCCACCGCCCGGAGTTGTGATTTCTTGGCTGGAGCCGGTCGTCAAAATTCTTCTTGCTGCGAGAATCAAATTGCCTCTCTGGTTATCTACTTATTTCAAGGTAGAAAAGCTGGATTTTGGCTCCTCTTTTTGTGCATAAAATACTTGACTTGGTTTCCCCCTGAAAATGCGATGTTTGAGTCATGAGTTTTGTAGATTGTTTGCTCCTTTATTGGATTGTTGGAGGTGGTTATTCTTAACTTTGAGTGAGGATTGATGTTTCCTATTCGTGGCACCAATTTTTTTTTCACCCAGACGAAGTTACGAGATTTTCATGGCATCCTGATGAGGAAACATGATTTACTTCCCGTGCTTGCATGTGTCGTGAATTTAAAGTTCAACCAAATACTGCGTTTTAATAATTGGAAAAAAAAACTCTTGGTTGCCCTGTTTCAAATCTAACGGCGAATTTCGGATGATCGAAATCGTTCATTATGTTCAATGGACAGATTGCTTTGAAAATTCACTTGATGAGCCCAAGGAATGGCTGTAATTAAAAACCATTCTTACTGAATATTTTACACATATTTTCTGCAAGTATTTTTTATGCATCCTCCGTTGATCTGGAGGATTTTGACTCAGAAACCCGCGCGGATAAAGAAATTCATTGCAATTCATTGACAAAATTTAGAACTGTCTCATGGACTTGTGATTCTTCATTTGATTAGTGTAAAATTGTTTCTTCTGCTCGGTTTTCTACTTTCACGAGTTGAAAAAATCAGTCTGAAAGCTTCTTATTTTATTTTTTTGACAGGCTCATGCAGTGACAGTGTTGCTGCGGTTACTTTGGGAAGCCGGAAACCTTCAAGACTGCTCCGAAACCGTTTGCCGATATTTGGAAGCCCTGACGGAAGGATCCCCTGATCTGCTGGCTGAATTCCGGCTCCCGGGTTCATTGCGAGTCGCTCACACGGAATTCCTTTTGCCACACAACGTGATTAACGAGCTATTGGCTGAGTTGGACGCTCTTTCGGTGCGCACGGGCGCCGCGATCCGAGCTGCGCAAAGAATTCGTCACCTGTGGGCGTTGGCGCGAGAGTTGGCGGTGCGGCGGTCGACTGAGGTTCGGGCGACGGCGGCATTGCCGCCGAGACAGCAGCACGTTCACTGAGCTCGGGGAGCAAGCTAATCCTTTGTTTTTCCCAACTTGATTTGATTGCGACTCGTCGATTGTTTGATTGATGCGAGCTTTCCGGAAGTTCTCCAACATTTCGTGGTACTGTATATGAAGTTTTGGTTCTTGTAACTTCCCGGCGTCCCTCATTACCTTGGCGTTGCTTGAAGTTGGCTGTTCTTGTTAGGTTCAACGAGTCCTGCACTCTAATGATTGTCATGACGAAGGTGTCGCCTCAATTTCCCGAAATTTTTCTCGAGCCCAGTTGATCAACAAATTAGTGTCATTAAGACGCTACTATTACGCATCAGTGCAGTGTCTGGCGTACCTGATGGATTTCCCTTGTCATCATATTGATGTCGCCCGTACTTCGCTCCATTTTTAAAATTTAAGTTGTCATAAAGTTGGTATTACATATCACTGTAATTTCAAATGTTCCCGAGACGCCGTGATTTTTTTCGGAATTTTACAGATGTCGCTAGAATTTTTTGAAGGTCCACATGAATTTACCATGTTTACACGAGCATAAGTTGGGGTGTGCCCTGATTTTGGACAGTAATTTGAAGGCGGAGGTCTGTGAATCATGCCAAATATTTTCGTTGGAAGAAAAGGGCAGAAGAAATAAGCAAATAATTTGATTCGTAGAAAGAAGGGGCTTTTCTGAAAAATCAAATTGAATCAAATTTTCCCTCTTCGTCTGATTCTCAAATAAATTCAAAACATAAATCCTTGCGTTTGTTTAAAAATTTCTGCGAGAAGTGAGAGGTTCCGCGAAAACGGTCGAAACAAGTTGGGGGAAGAAAAGAGGCGCCGTGAAGCTTTCGGACCTTGTGAAGTGCGTGGTACTTTTTTTTTTCCAGAGTTTGTACGCTGCGAATTTTTTGGAGCAGTGAAGATTTTTCTGTGAGTATTTTCAACGGCGTTCATTTCTTGATTAATCGTTTATCTCTCGTTGAAAGTGTGTCTCGTGTATTTAGGAAGTGTCCGACATGGAAAGAGTTATTCCATTGAACTTCCAGAGTTCCAATTCTTTTTTGAAGCTCATTTCTGAAGCTGTGGGATACTGGGTATAAAAAAAAATGTAGAATGAAAAATTAGTTCCAGGCTCCCAAAAATCCCTCGAACAAGTTATACTAAGGTTTATGGAGTAACTATTGTTTTTACTCAAATATACCACCCAAATCTTGTTCCTTAGAAATTGAACTCAAGAAATGGGATTTGCGTCATACTCTACACATTTTTCTTCAAATGTAAGTTTTTAGTGCACGTAATACAGGTACTTTCAACACCTTAAGCGAAGTTGAAAGATATGTAATTTGTTGGAAACAGGAATGAGAAAAATTTATTCATTTTTAGGCACAATCAAACAGGAGATGAAATTGTGAAACAAAAAGAAATGCATCACAGTTCAATTCGAATTTTATAAGTCATGACAATCAATTTTTAACGTCTAAAAGTAATTGCTGAAATTAATCGGTTTTTGCTAACGAAAAAGTTATTCCTTCGTTTATAATTTTCTGTACTGTTTTGTATTCTCGCCTCTTTCCGTTGTTGGCTCCAAAGAATCCATTCCCTGTGTTGGTCAATTAATTGCGATTCCATGAATTGTTGATGGTTCCCCGCACTCGGGACCTTCGTTGCATTTGCAGGTCGATAAAATGCGGGTGGTCGAGACTTGACCGTGAATTACAAGCAGCTTTCTTTGAAGTGACTATGCAAAGAGGAAACTGTCCATTTCTGAAAACATCAATATTGTTTTAGGAAGGAGGGGTTGTACTGAAAGGAATATTCGGGTCTGGCACGCTCAAGATAATGCCGTAAAAGTGCTGAAAGTTATGGGAAAAGATAAATGAAGAAAAGTGCTTCCTTCCTTTTGTGAACATGAAATGAAAATAATCGTTTTTATTAGTAAATAAGTACTTGATAATAAATACTTCGACGGCTTTAATATACTCACTAATGATGTAATCTTCAGCATTTATTTCCTGTTTGACAAAGTGGAGCTTTTTATTTGACGATTTTCCAGCTATTTTTGATTGCTTGTGGAATATGTGAAGAATCTTGGAAATAATTCAGCAGAAATCATGCCAAAAATCTCAATTTTTCTGAATCAACATTTTTTTTCAAATTCTGCATATTGAAGAAAAGTTGACTACGTTGGTATCACAACAATTTCACTCTGAAGAAATGGAATCGAGAAAGATTCCTTGATTTTTTTTGCACAGGGGACGTTATGACTACAGCAAAATTTGTGACGCATTGTCGTTTTCTTGACTTGTGCAAAAAAAAATCAAGCGTCAGTTTAGCGTCTTTCTCCATCGATTTTCGCGTGACGAGTGTTGACGGTCTTTTGGTGTGTGTGTGTGTGAATACGTGCGTTTTAATGTGGAATTGCGTGCTGTGTGAAGCGGGGAAATAACATGGCTGACCTCGCACAAGAAAAAAAAAAAAAAAAAAAAAACACACACAAGGAAAGTTTCTGAAGCTATAAACGCGGGACTAGGTCAAGTTTTGTCACTCTTCTGCATGTTGCCCTTGAGGTCAGTCAACCCTATTTTTTTCTGCATCTTTTGATCAGCGAGTGCGATTTTTTGTTGTTGCCTTGATAATCATCCTTGATGATATGAACAGTACTCAAGATGGACGTGAATCACTGCAAGTTGGACAGGAAGCTGACGCCAAGAAACCACGTGAGTTGCAGCTTATTTATTTTTTTGGAGTAGATTTACTGGAGTCTTTTTGACCCCAGAAGTTATGTTTTGTGTGGGATTTATTCATAAAATATATCAAACAAATCTATAATTTGTTAAAATTTATTTCTGTGACAGAGCCTCTGAAAACTATCTGGTGCACTGAGGAAGCATATTTTTTTTAGATACAAGGAGGAAACAATTTAGTCAAATTCTATTATAAAAACGTTTTTGAAGGTCGTGGCAGAAAGACCATATGCACTGTGCTGCAGAAGTGTCAGCATGGTATATTTGCAAAAATACATTGCTACAAATCAATTTCTTGGTAATTTTTAATTTATAGCTAGTAATAGTGGGAATTTATCAATTTTCATCCCAGATCTTCCTGCCTTCAAATGGAGCAACTCTAAATCGACATTTAGTGCTTACAGCAGGTTAATGAAGTTCACTCAACAGAGAATCACATTGCTGAATTCAGAAAAATTAACTTTTTGTAGTAATCTTGGTATGAGGAATTTTCTGATGATGCATTTTCAGGGGCCTTGAAAGGTTCTTGTATCAAAAATTCAATTGCATAAACTTCATACCTTGAAGTATGGACACAAGTTCTAGCAAATACTTAGAGTTGTAAACCTTACTCCTTTATCTAGGAATAAAATTTTGACCCCTGGTTTTTAATTTTATCTCGATCTATCTCCTTCTTTAAATTGCCATTGGCTTCTTTTGCAGGAGGGAAAAGCAGATCAGTTGCATGGGCAGTGTCCTTGACAGCATCTTCAGCCAGTGTGGATGTTCTTCAGGACAGAACTGAATTGGTAGTGGAAACAGAGAGCTATGTTGATTTAGGTAAGTTTGTGATGCATCTATACAGGTTACACATTTTGCTAAGCATTAGTCTGTGACAGGATCTTCTGTGGTAATTCATAATAGAAACAGAAAAAGAAAGAATTACATGACATTGTAATTGGTAATGTTCTAAGCCGTAAATTTAATTTTAAATGAGTTGACAGGATGCTGAATTCGGATGCAAGGGTTAATTTGCACTGTTAGTCTTTCTCTTGCTCTCAAATCACATCTAGTCACATTTTATTCAAGTTTCTCTTGTCTATGAAATATAGTAATAGCCAAAAAGGCTTGAAGGAAATTTGATTTATGGTGGTTTGAAGAGGAAAGTTTTTGAGTTAAAGAGGTTTTTAATCTAAGATAATTCAGATAAGGACTTTAAATAGGTTGATAAGGAATTATTTGACTTAGGGAGATTTGAATTATCAAGATTCAACTGTATTTCATAATGCAATTATAATTTACAAGCTGGGGGTGCCCAGCCACACCTGAGCATCAGCATTTTAAAGAACGTGTAAAAAGTTTGAATTTATCAATTAGGATCACATTTTATTCCAGCCTTACCATGCATTCATAGTTTTCTCATGAGCAGGGTTTCTGTTGATTAAATCCCAGAACAAATCATAAATCATAATTTAGAACAGTGTTCCCCAACCCCTGATTCTCTGACTGGCACCAGTCTGCCAAACTTTTTTGTGGGTCCATTATAAAATGATCACCATGCAAGGGTGAACAATGAGTGGGCAGAAAATTACTGACATTGTCTTGGTCATAAAATTGTTGAGAAATGCAGATGGAAATACTGCTGCATGTGTGAAAATTGTTCTGAGAATTTTCATCTATTATTTTTGTATCGCAGACAAAGGAAATGCATCAAGGTTTGTGGTTTACGCCTCAACAGCGCCGTCCATGCTTCTCAGGATCAGTGATGAGGTTGAAGTAACTGAAGATCCGACGCGAAACTGGTTAGAAATTGCTTCCCAAGATGTTCTCTTGCAAAGCGAGGCTTTACCAGACGCGGACAACGGCCTGCCAAGCTTCACGCTTCATGACGTTCACACGGGGGCCGAAGTTGTCAAGTTTACGAGCAAAAAAGTATCGTCAGCGTGCTACGAATGTTTTACTGGAACCAAGACGAACATGAGTGTGTGTGATGCAACTGGGAGGCTGATAGGAAATTTGCACAAGAATGAATCTCACTTTAAAGGAGTCAGTGTGGAGGTGGAGGAAGCCAATGTTGTGATTTTCAGGGCAATTCCTGAGGCGTTGGAAACGAGTGAAGATGAACAGAATCCGCATCAGGAATGTTTTGTGGTGAGTGACATTGGTAGAAATGCTGAACTAAGATGAGCCTTAGTTTTATTACCCTGGGGTTCCTGTACTGTAAGTGCTTGAGATCCCATGCAGTTGGAAAATAGTTGCGTCTGTTAACTTATATTTTACCCGAAAATGATTGAATGAAAGTCAAAATTTTGTTCTTGGGTATTTAATTCAAGTTTCTTTAAAAACATACAACTGTAGTTGGATTAATGTGCTGAATGATGAAAGGAATAATGTTGATCACCTGAACTTTTTTTGGGAGTAATGTTTGACTGCATCATCAAAACTAATTATTAAATACCATTCACAAAGTAGAAAGGAAATACAGTATTATATGTGCTATGGACCTTGTCATAGAAATCATGGCCTATGACAAGTTTGTTTTTTATGTTTCACCACAATATTAGAATTTCTTGCAGAAACTATTACACATACTTTTTAGAGACAAGATAGGAATCTATTGTATGATTCAGGTTATCATAAACCCAAATGTCAACTCAGCTCATGGGATTTCCTTCCATCTGGTGTCAAATTCTATGGTCTCTCTTCCATTGTGAATACCAGCAACAACAAAAAAGTAGAAAAAGTTTCATGGTTTTGTTCAACAAAGCCTGCACTGTATTTTTTTTTTTTTTACCAGGCGTGTCCTAGATCTGCATGCTCTCTTCATTCCAATCCACTCTGTGCACTCCTATCATGAAATAAATCATAAAGCTCAAATTTCTCTAGTATGATTTGAATATTCAAGAAATCAATGGATTGAGACATGATTATTTGGTCTATTTGATTGGGAGTGCATCAACCAGAATGAAATGTCAGTGCCAATATTTTGTTCGAAGGTGGAGCAGAACAAACACCCTGGTTTGGCTATTGGTCGGATTGTGTCGACTTTCTCTGGACACTGGAGAACCTTGCTGTCACTACGACATCCGCTACCAGTGAAAAAAGTTGCTTTGCTTTTGGGTTGTGCCTTGGCTGTACATGTGAGTCATGCTTACCATTCTTTATAGATTAAATACTGTATTTCAGCTAGTGAGCAGTTTAAAATTGAAATTTATTAGTGAACAACTGAAGTAAGCTGGCATTCAAGCTGTCAACCTTCTAAAATTCACAATCTTTCCGACTTGTCGAAAATAATTCTGAGAGTTTGAACTCAAAACTTGCTGAAATGTTCGCATTTCATGCCAAGAGTATATTTTTAGCATGAATATGTTGAGCTACTGTTGGAGGATTTGGGAACACACTCAGCCAAGGTCTATACAAGGCTGTTTTAGATTACTCAGTTACAGTAATGGACTTTTCTGATAATGAACTTCACTCTGAATTGCTTTTCATAAGTCCATCAAATGAAGCATACAATACTTGAACAGTGCAGTGAAATCGTCTTACAACGAATCTCGTTATAACGAATAATCGCTCATACTGAAGCCATTTTTTGGGTCCTGCCCAATAGCCACAATGTTGAATGAGTTATACAGTACTTATAATGAATTTTTCATTACAACAAGGCTATTTTACTATACATGATTTGCGCGGGATTCCATTCACTATATGTAAACGCTAAATAACTTGAAATTTAATTTTTACTTAATTTTGCAGCCTTGAAACCAACATTCAATTTTCTTTCAAGAAGACCCAAGAACATAACGCCAAATGGAGAGAAAGAACTGCAGGATGGAGGAATTTTGAGCGAGTGCATTTTACTCGGTTGCCATGACTGCCATTTCTTTTCGCGGGCACAATTTTCCTTCGTCCTTGTTCCAAGTAATGACATCAATAATGTCCACTCATGCGTTTCAGTCACACACCGGCAGGTACGCGAAAAAAAAACGGCGCTGTTAAAATAAACACCCTTTTTTAAAAATATCCCTGGAACGTTTTGCTATCAATGTTTACTTACAAAAGATACCTCCCTCAAATTGGAATTGCGGGCACTTTGCAAATCGTAATCAATCAATAATTCATCTCTTTTCTATAAAAAAACATCTTCTGTCATTGATAAAATCAAAGGCACCGCGATTTCATACGGTGTATAAGATTCCATTCCATGATTGAAAGTTCTCCTTCGGAAGACCCAAAAAAAAAATGCCCCGCCTCACCCCGTGATTGCCGCCCAACTCAAGTGCCACTTGAATGTTGTAGACCAATGGTTTGAATCACCAATCCTGTCACAAAATACGGCTTTTCATCTTAGCATGAAAATCAATTCCAAGAATGAATAGTTCTGTGACCTCTGTATAATACAATATTTCACTCGGTATAGAACTCACATAATCATTTAAATTCGTTTTGTCATCGTGAAAGGGCTCAAACATTGTACCCAATTCGACGTATGCCTTAGCAAGGGCATGAGAAAATGTTTTTTTTTTTGAAAACGTATTTTATGACAGGAATGGTACCACAAAATATGGTTGCCTCATCATGTAGCTGATGCTCAGTTGGGTGGTGCTCACTTGACCCCGCACCAGTTTCTCCACTATGTTGCAAACAAAACAAAAAACAGCAACATGTGAGAGAAATTTATGATTAGCTGCTAACTGGGTCAAATGCAGCAGCAGCTGCACTGAACGGCAATCAATCAATCAATCATTGACCCTCGACTTTCGAATGAGACTTCATGTGGCGCAAAACGCTGGACCTCTGCGTGTAAGTGGCGTCGCAGAAAGTGCACTTGTACGGCTTCTCCCCAGTGTGCACCACGATGTGGCGCTTGAGTCGACTGCCCTCGGTACACGTGTATTGGCACACTCCGCAAAAGTACATCCGGGTCTTTTGCTTGGTCCATCCGCGCCACACGTATTGAGATACCTTCTCGATCTTGTACTGTCAAGAGGAAAGCAAGATACAGTATTATGCAAGCGTCAACAAGTTTATTTTTTTATTTCCAACAAACACTCACGCAAGGGGGAACTGCTTTATTTTCTGATTATTCAGGGTAATGCAGAACGTTTCTGGCCGATTTTGCAAAATTTTGATATAAAAAATTGATGCATATTCATGTTCAGGCTGTAAAATTCATAATCTTTCAATTTTGTCACACTTGTTCTTTACGTTCAAGCGAACTAAAAAGTTGCAAATCTTATGGAACTTTCAGGGGCCAAGAAACTCTGCCCACCCCAGGAGCGACATCTGGATAGCTGTACGTAAAACCGCGATGCCTCAGTTCTCACTGCGTAACGCAGATGACTAAAGAAACGTCACGCGTTTCACCGGAAAAGTCTCTTCTTCAACCGCCCCTTCCGGATTAATGTTCATATTTCCGGGAAATGTTTGTTTATTAATCATCACAAGATCTTAAGATTCTTCTCTGAAAAGATTACCCCACTGAGTCAGGTGGACTTCGATTTTTTCACGACAACACGGAAGTCCAATTAAATCTTGTCGTGATTGACTTACGTGCGAGAACTTCGTCTCGGCGGAGACTCGCGAACATTTAGCGCACACATACATACTTACTTTGCAGACAAAGTTCCAGGGGGGGGGGGGGGGTAAAATGTGGTCATTAGCTTGTAAGCTGACCCCGGCGTGTCCACGGGCTTCATGGAAAATTGATTGATCAAAGACAAGCACCTCCTTTGCAAACATCAAGTGGGTGAGCTATTCGGAAGCTCAAAGCACGAAACGGAGTGAGTCAAGCGGTCACCATGAGCTATAAAGAACAAACTAACTTGACCCACTTACGGGTCACACGCCCCCCCCCCCCCCCAACGTTCAAACCCCCAAATAAATAACCCACGAAACGAAAACAAGGAACCCCCAGAATAAGATGGAATTGATGGTCAAACCATCACGGTTTGAACTGCGAATAAAAAAAGGAAGATTTGTACAACGAAGAAAAGTAATTTAAAATTTTTTTTTTCAAGTTCAACATGATAGTCAAGAATGCGACGAAGCTTAATATTCTGTAACACCACGAAATTTCAAGCTCTCAACTGAGGATGAAATTTCTTCACAATAAACTTCTTTGCCATGAAAAAAAAACTTATTACAGGAAGAATCTCCCCCAAGGAATTCAGACTTTTATTTTGGAATTGGAGGAAAATTCCTTGAAATTCAAATTATTTTGGCGTAATCAGAATACTTTAAAGTAAATTACAGAATTTTCACAGCAAAAATAAAAATTTTTCTCCAGGAAAAATTAAAATTTCTCCTAAAATAGGCAGTATCAGATTCGTCCATTTATTTAATCTGTTATTCTTTTGGGTAAATTTTTAAAAATAAAAATTCCGAGCAACCTCTATAATTTTTTAAATTTGTAATGGAAACTAAAAAATAGCAAAAAAAAAGAATAGTTATGCTAAATCCAGAAAATTCGTCATAACGTTATTTTAAGCTATTTTTTTCATAGCTGTTCTTTCGGAAGCTTGGAAATCTTTTGCTTTAATGGAAAGTTGAAATTCGCCAGACGAAGATTTTACCTAATGGAAAATTTTGCGACTTTTATACAATACAGTACTGTGATGAAAATTGAAAAATTCAATATTGTAATAAGAAAACGCAAGAGCTTTACAACGTTGAAAAATTACTTGATGTATTATTTTCTACAAAACAAGCAATTGCATAAATTTACTTTCACATTTTTGTCAAATAAAATCGAGACCTCGATCAAACCACAACGTCCTGCTCAACAGCAAATCCCCCTAAAGAAATGTCGAAAATCACACATTTTCTCAACACATTCAACATAAGAATCATGAATTTACGATTTTACTCACCTTCTGGGTCAGGTAAGCGATTCTAAGATTGATTAGAAAATCAAATGTTCAAAGTGCATAGAAAACAAACTGCGTGAAATGACGTTCAAGTCATCGTTTGGAGCAGCAAGAAAATTCTCATGTATTCCGATTTCTCACGAGAAAAAAAAAAAAAAAAAAACAGAAGGAAACAGTCAACAATTCCGATTGTCGGTTCTAACCCCATAAAATCTCTAACAATATATTAATAATAATAATAGAAAAAAAACTGTGGCAACTCATTTCTTTCAAAAATTGCACCAAGTTTTCCCTCTCCACGGTAACCCTTCCTGACGTGGACAACAAGAAAATGAGAACGTCGACGATAAAAAAAAACTGAACGTGATTAAACAAATATATATAATGCCACTTATTTTTGTCGTTGGTCTTTCTTAAAATTCAGCTTCTTTTTCTTTCTTTTTTTTTGGTTAGTGATTTCCCTTCTCAAATTCGTATTCAAATCAGCAGCGCGTCTCATCCGTCTCATCTCAACAATGCATAAAATGCTTTTCCCTTTTTTTGCTTGTTTCTCGTTACGATTGTCCGAAACGATCCAAGGTAACTGGCGATGTAAAAAGTTAATCCCACCGTTTTTTTTTTCAGTCGGCGTGATTTTTGTCAAAATCGTGAAAAAAGGAGAAAAAACACGCGGGGTCCTCGATTTGTTGGACGCCGAGCTGAAGTCGGGCTTGAGCAGCGAACTTATATCCGAGGCAGCGGCGGCATAAGAAAGAAAAGAAGGAAAGAAAAAAAAAAAACACGGGCTTGTTGCGGCAGTTTTTTGGCATGCAAATTTTGTGAACGCAGAATAAATAAAAAATAAAATGAACAAAAATCGCGCCTCGAGTACGCTATTTCCTGTAGAAATTGGGTGGGAGAGTTGAACAAACTTCATGATCAACAGGAATAATTTTTGTCACCTGCCTCTCCAAAGATGTACAGTGAGACCCCCACATGTGGACACCTTGACATGAGGACAATTCAACATAGGGACATTCATTTTTCAATAAAAAAAATGTCCAACACGCGGACACTGACTCAACATGAGGACATTGCATGATAAAATTGCCAATAAATAATTACAAAAACTGACTTTTATTTGGCTTGATTGCAAGAAAAATTTATTTCTAACCCTAAGATTTATGCAAGAAAAATTCTTTGTCTTTTCTTCCATCATTTTCCCATCCATTCAGCTAGTTTAAAAAAAATTACCTATTGCATAGAGGGACTTCCTTCTCTCTTTGTGACTTGAATTTTATTTCTGTAGATGCCTACATTCCTATGTACCGTAATGAGATACACTATTCAATGCTCCAAATGTTCTTATTGAGTTGAAAATATATTCACTAAATCAATTTCAAGTACAAACAATTTTTCACGGAATCCTGAAGAATATTTCTTCCATAAAACACCAATTAAAAATTATATAATGTAAGTCTAAGGGGTAAACAAGACTCAACTTAGGGACACTCTTGATGCACNCTTCCATAAAACACCAATTAAAAATTATATAATGTAAGTCTAAGGGGTAAACAAGACTCAACTTAGGGACACTCTTGATGCACCAATTACGTCTGCATCTGGGGGTCTCACTGTAAATCACAAACATTCATTTTAATTGTAGTCATGACTACAATATAAATAGCACTTTGGAGTGTTCCTTTATAACTTCTTGTTCCATTATGGTTTGCTGAGCTTCAAATTCAAGTCCCCCAACTTATTTATTTGTACCAATTTGACACAACATAATGATTTCCTGAAAGATTCTTTCACAGTACAGTATTTGTTTCGCAAGAATTTAATTTTAGACTTTTTCATTGTCATAATTTAAAATTTCTCCATAATTGAAGCACAACAGCACTCAACATTCCACTGACATCAGGAATAACTTTCTAAATCATTTTCCTTTCCTTCATTTGCTGTGCAAAAGAGTATGTTGACACCAATCCAAATCAATTGCTATGCACATCCCTTGACCTCAACCACATGAATCTATAAATACAGGTGCCTCCTATGCTTAAGCAAGCTTACTGTTACCAGACTTTGATGCAAACCCTTATTGCTGTAGCTCTGCTCTGTAAAATATTACAAATTGCGGTGTACATGCAAAGTAATAAAGACACTAGTCTAAAAATCTCTCATCAGAGTATTTTTGTGAACTTTTCTAAAGTACTTGGAAAATGTTTTAAATCTCCAAGACCCAAGTCTTATTTTGGTTAAATGATTTATGCACAAATAATTAAAATTGTCTGATCAATGATTTGAAGATCAAGTGTTTATTTATTATTACAAATTTGAAACAACATAATGATTTCCTCAAAGATTCTTTCACAGTACAGTATGTGTTTCTCAAGAATTTAATTTTAGACTTTTTCATTGTCATAATTTAATTTTTTCTCCATAATTGAAGCTCCACAATTATTTTTGTCTGACCTTTCACACTTGCCAATTTATTTGAATAGATCATAACAATCCCCAAAAAAATCCAGTCCCGAATCTCAAGAATTTTAATCATAGAATTGTTGATAGTAGTAAGTTGCCATTTTTCAAACCAGGTGGGAGAGTTGAACTTGTAACAATATCACCACAAAATTTTGTTGTTCAGACTCTTGGGGGATTTGAATCATACAGACATTGAATCTAATACTTTAATTCACTAGTTGTTTTTATGCAAAAAGGTTGAAGTTTCCAATTCTACATTTCTTGATGAATCATTCATAATTATTTTCATAATTAAAAGACTTGGTGGGAGAGATGAACAGCTATGAGGATTTAGACTC